CCCTACAGTGAAAATCTCTCCAAAAAAAAAAAAAAATCTCCACAAAATAAAGAAATTAAATAACTACTTATTAAAAAAAATTTGGTCACTACCCTTCTCGCAAGCTGCCGGAGTCTGGTTTCTAAAGCCCTGCTAGGTGCCTGAGCCCGTGCCCCGGGAGATGCGGGCCTGCTTCTCTCTCAAGATGCTCTCCTGGGCTTGAATGGGTGGGAAACACGCCCAACTCTTATTTTCCGGAGGAGTCTGGTTATAATTGGGATTACTTCTGTTCTAATTATTTAACAGAGTTCATCAGTGAGTTTATTTAGGGTAAGGCTTTTGACCATTAACTCAATGTGAAAATACATACAAGTCACTGGGACCAGCACTGAGTGTAACGGCTATGTAGCTGGACTCCCATGTAGTCGACCGCGGTTCGAGTCCTGGACCTGGTGGCTTAAACTCACGCCGGGCACATGTGCATGCGTGCCCAAGATCCCGAGAGGAGAATGGAGGAGAAGGGATTGCAGCATGGACATCCCTCTGGGGGGGTGATTTATCGCTTTCTGTCTCCCTGTCTCTCTCTTTCTGGTGAGCACACGTGCCCTATAGCAAGAGCCTCTCCAAAACAAAAAATATATATACAAGTTACCTATTTTTTCTTGAGTCCTGACAATACATTTGTAAACGTGAAAGTTAAAGCAAGTTGGGAGGGCTCAGGCTGGGACGGAAGGTGCTGCTCCAGAGAAGCTGGACCCCTGCCCGGTCAGCCTGCAACACGCTAGGCACATGCCCAGGGCCCTGTGTGACGTCGAGGGATGCAGGGGGTCACAGCGGCCAGACTGCGGGGTGCACACTGCTCTCCCACGTGTGCACACATGCACTATCATGAATGACGACAGATACAGAGTAAACTAAAAAGCCTGGCTGCCTTCGCTCAACACGAACACGAACACAGAACTGTGAGTGGAGGCTGCGTGTTGGAGAGCTGGCCGCAGTGCCGTAAAGACGTGACGAGGGAGTAAGCCCTGCTCCTCCTTGGGGCGATGCACCCCCGCCGTGCTAGCCACCGCAGAGCCAATAGGTCCCTTCCAGGTTAAGGGAGCACGTCTCTCCACTGCCAGGAAAATGACCGGGCAGAGTGCTGCGAAGGGGCCTGGAGCCAGCTCCGCCCTGTGGGCTCTGCGGACGAAGGGCCAGGCTGGGAGCTGGCACATGTGGCCTTGGGGGGGGGCCTTAGGCGGGGGGACCTAAGGGGAGGGGCTGCCTTTAGAAGGGGCCCTGCCTTAGGAGGGGCGGCCTTTAGGAGGTGCCCTGCCGTAGGAGCTGCTGCCTTTATGAGGTGCCCTGCCTTAGGAGGTGCCCTGCCTTAGGTACGGCTGCCTTTGGGAGGGGCCCTGCCTTAGGAGGGGTGGCCTTTAGGAGCGGCCCTGCCTTAGGAGCGGCGGTCTTTAGGAGGTGCGGCCTACTGACCTCTCACCAGGTCTTGTCTCACTTTCAAAACGGCCCCCAGGTCGCAGTGGGCAGTGGCGTAGGCGTGCGGCACGGTGCTCTTGGACTCAGTTAGCCGCTTGGCAATAACTCTCCGGATGTTGCTGGCGGGGAGCTCCGTGAACGTGCCCTGCAATCAAACAGCAAGCTGTCCATCAGAGTGGAAGTCGAATGGAAGAAGGACAATCGGGAAACAGCTCTGTAACTGAAATGTGGGTTCTGTGGTCAAACTTACGACGTTAGAGGTTAACATAAGGAAAGGACTATTAGAGACTCTTAGTACGGGGGGTATTCAAAACCTGAGTAGTCTTGGTTTTATAGCACGTGACGGTCAAAGCAGTTATGATGCCTATTCTGCTGAAAGAGAATCGCACTGAACAAGGAGAAACCGCTCCCGGGTGTGTGCGTACACGCATGCACCGGGACGGCACTGCGTCTACCTGTAGGCAGCTTCCATCACAAACACCACTAATTAAACTGGCTCAGCGACGAGAAGGGCACATGGCAGAAACAGAGCCTGACACCCCGCGTAACCGCCAAGTCATTAGAAAAAGCAGGGTCTCTCACCTCCTGGGAGTTCTTCACAAAGAACAAGGAGGGCAAGGGGGTCCTCCCGGACACAGACAGGAGGTCCCGGCTGTGCCCGCGCCTCTCGGAGCTGCCTGGCTGTGGCAGCCCAGCACAGCGACACGCCTGCATGTTTTACACACTCCCAGGAACCCAGGCTTTTACGGTAGACGGTGCTTGCTCGAAACTGAATGCCCCTCACACGGTGAGCCTCTGAGGTGAGGAGGCTGCTCTTCCTAACTCGAATGACCAACTTTGAAGTGTACCGGCAGGCAGTGCTGGGGCTCCCACGTCTCAGTGCAGAGCCGTTACTCACCAATGAACCCTGGGAAGCCTCCTGGCTCCCACAAAGACAAAGCAATGGTTTATAATCCAGGAATGACTTAAAAATTAAAGAGAATCACTAATTCACACGACACTGCCTGCCATGAAGCGTGTACGCCAGCCTTCAGCACCGTGGCACGTGCTCGTTAGCCAGGGCAGGACAGGCTGCCTCGTCTCCCTTCTCTCGCGTGCCACTGGTTTGAAATAACCCGCTCATCCTAGGCCGCTTCCGGTGGGAGCCGACGCCGAGAGGGATGAGGAGGAGGCCGGGGGGCACGGGGAGAACCCCAGACGGAGGCGCGGCTGCACTGGGGGCCAGTCCACAGCGCCTCTCCGTGTGCTACGGTCCGCTGGAAAGACCATGCCCACAGAGGGAGTCCGTGTCACTGCCCCAGCCCCACACGGGAGACACGGGCAGTGTCCCGAGACAGAGCACGGGTGGGTGCCGCCGCTGTGGAAGGAGGTGAAGGACAGAACCGCATTCTGAGGACCTCCGTGGAAGCTCATCGTAGATGAACGCGGCTCCGGCGGGCAGCGGGAGGCACGAGTGCTCGCCAAGCACACGGTGCCTGCTGCCGTCCGTGCCCAGAGCTGAGACAAGGCCTGCCGGGACCTACCGGTGCATTCGGCTGCCCAGGCGTTGACAGTGGTGGGGTCAGAGGCCGGGCGTACACAGGCCCGGCCGCAGGTGGTCCGGGCGGCGCTGGGAGAGGGGCCGGAGGAGCTGGGGCTGGCCTGGACTCGGGGGTCTTGCCCGCCTGTCTCAGCTGGACCAGTTTGAGAGCATCCCTGCAGGTAGGAAGGGATTGGAGTCAAGTCAGCAGCAAGGACAGAGGGGTTTTCAGAAAGCGCAGGGAGGCGGGCAGGGGACGTGCACAGACATCAGGCCGGACGGGCTGGCCCAGGAGCTGGCAGATCAAACCCGGCCTCCCATCCGCTCGCTTATGCACGCAGTGTCCAATGGCTGTAATACCTGCACACTTTCAAACACCAAACGGTAATTGGGATTTCACCAAAGAGTGGGGTAGAGATGGCAGTTTTCAGAAAGGAGATTAGTCTTTCTTCTGGAGACAGATGGCATCAGGAAGATGAGGAAGCAACTCATGAAGTCATCCCTCATCCTTACACCCATGGAGTAATCTCCACGCGGACTGCGAGGGCCGGTCTACATCACCGGGATGTTTGCTGACCCATGCTTATTCTCCCACAGCCCGCCTATGGCCAGGACCACCTCTAATTTTTTTTTTTTTTAGGTTGTTGCCATACAGTGCCCGTGCTCACTGGAGACAGAGGGAAGTGAGAGGCTAATCCCCGGGGGATGGCCACTCCGCAATCTCTTCTCCATCCTCCTCCCACACACGCACCTATGCCCTGTGTTTTTCAAGCCACCAGGACCAGGGCTCGAACAGCAGTCAGCCATGTGAAAGTCCAACACCTTAACTGTGGAGAGCATCTAAGAGGAAATGGAGTGCTGAGCCGGCTGCTGTAGATGTTAATCGCAGAGAACGACTGGCCATGCACTCCTACTCCCACAGCAACAGCAGTGTCCTCATGCAGTGTGTCTCTCTTTACATTTTCTTCTCTGTTTCTTTTCTTTCATTTTATGATTTTTGGGGGGCCAACTGTCATTAAACACAAGTGACTTTCTTTAGACTGATACTGCTCTGCAGTTTTGATAACAGACAGCTGGTGTATTTACATACAAATTGTCTTCACTGCCATACAAATGACAGCTCACAAAGCGGCATTTTTATAAATATCCAACAGTCACCGTGTTTGCCCCAAATGACTGCTCTCCACACTTCACCACCACACGACTTGCTGGCCCATCTCTGTCAGATCTTAAAGAAAACTATTAAATATTTATCATTAAAAATATGGTGCTCAGGACCAGCAGATGGCATAATGGTTATATCACTGGACTCCTATATGATTGACCACAGTTTGAGTCCCAGACCCAGTGGCTGAAAACTCACGTCGGGCGCATGTGTGTGCCCAAAACCCTGAGAAGAGAAAGGAGAAGAGACTGTGGTGTAGTCATCCACCCTGGGGGGGGGTGCGACTTCATACTTTCCATCTCTTTGTCTCTGTCTCTCTGGCAAGTGCGTGCACCCTTTAGCAAAAATTATCTCTTAAAAATATATATAAATAAACATGGTACTCAGTAAGTCTGATACTAACTCATGGACCGACAGATCAATGAAACAGAATAGAAAAAAATAAAGAGACACAACTGCAGAAGGATATTGCTGTGGGACATTACAAATGGGTAAGAATAAAACAGTGTTATAAGTAGGTATCTCTGTTTTAGAACGGAAACACGATTGCATTAATTCTTAGTGCCATATGGTCAGCTCTGCTGTTCTGCACCCTAATATTCTACATTTGTCACCATTTGTGGGGACCCGGCTTAGTGACCAAGTGAGAGCTGTTCCTCAGTAATGCTGCAGTTATCCAGAAAACAACCATCATGCAGAATCCATTTCCACCAATAAAAGCAATTCAAAGTACAAAAGAGCAGCGGCCCTCCTCTCCCACCCTAACCCCGAGGAAGAGACAGCGGGCATGGCGGACGGGAGGGGCTACCTCAGAAAGCACACACGTACTCTTTGGTGAATATCCCTCGAGGGCCAGTGGCTGTGCCCTGGCTGGCATCCAGGCCATGTTTTTCCAGAATATTGCGGGCAGCTGGGCTTACACGGAACCTAAGAAACATGAAGATTGACAGAACAAATTAACACGTACACGACCCAAACAGATGCAAACGTCAGCAGCTGTGCCGGCATTTAGAGAAATAAGACCTTACGATAATGTCCCACTGACTCCCAGAGCTGGCCACGGCCACAGAACCACACTGACCCGGTCTTCGTGGTTGCCCAAACGCCACACAGGTCACCTGCTCACTACTCCGGAGCACTTCCATCAGAGTGGACACACACCGTGGAGGGCCTCTGTCCTGCCGGCTATGTGTCCTGGCTCCTCCACCCCATGGCGGCTCATTAATCACGCCTGTACTTACACACGGTGCCACTGAACACCGGCAGGCCCAGTCGCACTGAGTTGGACCGCGCGGTGTGACAGCCACTGCCCCCAGGGTGGCCCCACCTTCCCAGGCCGCGAGCCCGCGAGTGCGGGGCGCCCTCCCCTCCTCCCTCGCCCAGGCCGGCAAGGCTACTGACCCTCACCAGCCTGTGTGCTCTAGGCCCTGCCCAGGTGGACGGGATGGTGCTGGCCCTCTGGGGCTGACCAGGTTCCAGGGCTGGCCCGGGCTGGGGCTCGTGTCAGGCTTCCCTTCCTCTGGGGTTCCCTGCCTGCCCCATAACTGCTATGGAGTGTGGCGAGGGCTCCCCCACACACAGCCCAGAAGTGGGACTGCTCGAATACCAGTGTGTCCTCTCAGAACCCTACGAGGCTCGTTACACCGTGCTCACAGCAGCTGCCGCTCTGTACGCGCCCCACGCAGCCGCTCCCAGTCCTCCTCACCCAGGCCGACGCGTGGGGCTCCAGGGTTCCTGACTGTGGGCAGCAGCCACTACAATGAGCACGAAGCGGCATCTCCCGGGGGCCCCTCCCGGTGCAGCACCCGTCCCATGCCTCTGGCATCTGCTGGAGTCTTCTGCCCGCAGTTTAATTGGTTTATTTATGATGTTTAGAAAACTCCTGAGAATTCATGTGGGAGCACTTTCATACCACACGCGCTCCAGAGGGCGGGACCAACAGCTAATTCTACAGGCCAGAAAAAGGGCCCTGGCTGGCAGGCACTGCCTCTGCCAAGACCGTAAAGCAGAGCAGCGTAAACGCAGCAGCTGGGTAAAGAGCGGGCCGCCAGCATTCAGCAGCAGGGAGCAGCTGGGGGGCTGCAGCACACGTGGCAGTGACTGTTTTCTGAGCCTCGGGTCTCGGGATCAGAGAGGTTTCTGTGCTAAGGACTCAGAAACCAGGGGTTTTCTTTTCTTTTTTTGGAGAGGATTTTTGCTACAGGGCATGTGTGCTCCCCAGAAAGACAGAGAGACAGACAGAAAGCGAGAAATCACCCCCAGGGGGGATGGCCACACTGCAATCCCTTCTCCATTCTCCTCTCGGGGTCTTGGGCACGCACGCACATGCGCCCAGTGTGAGTTTAAGCCACTGGGTCCAGGACTCGAACCACGGTCGACTACATGGGCGTCCAGCGACACAGCCATTACGCCAACTGCTGGTCCCAACAAAAAATTTTAAATCGAAAAGTGTATTTTTTTTAAGTTCAGAAGCAAGTCACTTATGAAGGGACTTCGCTCTCTGAGAAACGGTTTCTTATAAACTCTTCATAGTCATGGAGGTACGGAAGCCAATGAACCTGTTAGAATCGCAGAGCCCCAGTTAAAGCTCTGCACAGCCCGAGGCAATGCCTGTGGACCTCGGCGTTGTTCCAGAGCACCGCGTCAGAGATGGGACCGCGGGGACTGCAAGGAGACCCGTCTCCAGCAGGACACATGTGGGCGGCTGCTGCAACCAACACCACGGCATGGACGCGGCCTGGAGTGGGGCACCAGGCCCCAGAAGGCACCCCTGACCCTGCGTCGAGCTCAGCGCGGTGCAGACGGTCTCGCTCGTGGGGACTCACGAGTCGCTCATTTACGACGACAGCAAATGCCCACTCCTAGGCCACAGTGGCCCCAGACACAAGGGGAGATGAGCAACATCCACGCATGAACAGGCCTGTGTGGACACACTAACGGCAGGTCCCGTCACCCCGCACATACTCACTGCAGAGCCCGCGGAGGGAGCCCCTTCCCGGCAGGCCTAGGAGCCTGTGGTTCTGGCGAAGCGCGAGGCACAGATGGCCTTGAAGCTGGTGACGGGGGACCCACGTCTTTGGGGATCTCGACACGTTTCCAATCTTCTCCTTCCCCAACCATTAAGCCGATCAGTGAGCCCAGCCGGATGTTTCTAGCTCCTTCTTCAACCTGTATTGTAAGAAGAAAAAACAAACAGGAAGGCTCATGGCGGAACCTGGCGCTGGGGACGAAGATCGCGCCGAGAAGCTCAGGCTGCCTCCAGGACGGGTGCCAGCGGCCTCCACCTGCCACTTCCTGCCCGCCTCCCTTCCTGCGCCCCTTCCCAGACAATGCCGCACCCCGAAATGAAAGGGAAATTGAGAGAAACCGCCGCCTCCTCACGGCCATACGTCAGATTTTAATGGACAGTTTTGAATTGTCTCTTGTTCTAGAGAGACAGAGACGGAGAGAGAAAACTCCTCAACCTGGGCCCTGATGCTGTGCTCTCTCATTTCTTTGTCCTGTTGGGACTTGGGGCATGCGAGAGCATGCACACGCACCTGTGTATTTCCAGGGCGCGAGGGCGAGGAGCTGACCTGCAGCTGGTCTTGCGGGAGCCAGTTCCCCACGCACAGAGCTTACCCTGTGCCCATGGGCTGGCCGCACTGCTTCACAGCCACCCAGAGCGGGAGGCTGGTCATGCATCGCAGCCATGTGTCCTTCACCAACCGCTTCTGCCCACAGCTTCACCCTACTTTTCGAAAAGCTTATTCATCTCAAACATGGGCCCAGAGAGACGGGAAGAGAGAGAGACAGCCACGCTCATCGGGCACTCACTCCTCCACTCCCAGCCCCAGCCGGCCGGGGCTCTCGGCCTGAACATGGAGTTCCCGCGGATCAGCCTCGGGCCGACCCTGCACCGCCACGCAGACCTTGGCTCCAGATGCTCAGGGCTCAGGGGCAATCGCCCCTCAAATCAGTGTTACCTACTAGAATTAATTTAAAGCAGCAATGTTCTCAGTAAACTCGCTTGGGAAAAAGAAGAATATTCCCTCTACAGGTAGAACTGGTTAACTATTTTCGTTAATGCTAATTTACTTTTTCCTACTTTTTCCCTGCGTATTTATAAAATCGGAAAAATAAGATAAATCCCGTATTTTTAATAAGTTGTAAACATGGTGGTGTCCCAGCTGACCAAATATTTCTTTGAAAGATAATGCCAATTGTAAACCTAAATAAGATTAAAGATGAGTTTTTAATTAAAGTAAATTTACTTTAAGCATTTCAGCAGAATTTATAAAGGGTTGGCTTTATTTACTTATTAGAAGTCCCTAGAAAGATGATCAATTTTCTAAGTTCAGTTCTAGAAGAGAATGTTATACCTTTAAAATGTTCTATTATTCTCTTCCAATTACCCTTAGTCAGGTCCATTACAGATCAATTTAAGAGATCACAGGGGGTCAGCAGATGGCGTGGAGGTCAAGGCCAGATTCCACATGACCAACTGTGTTGCTCAAGACTCAGAAGCAGGATCTTGAAAAACATGCCAACTTCAAGTGTGCACGCGCCCAAGATCCTGAGGAAGTGGAACATGGCCACCACCCTGGGGGGGATTTCTCTTTCTCTTTGTCTTCTGTGACACGCCCCTTCCCCCATTTTTTCAAGAGAGACTTTTGTCATAATGGGCGTGCGCTCATTGGACAGAGATAGAGTGAGAAATCACCTCCCAGAGGGATGGCAACACAGCAATCCCTTCTCCATTCTTGTCTTGGGATCTTGGGCATGTATACACATGTGCCTGGCGGTTGTTTCAAGCCACCAGATCCAGGACTTGAACCCCAATTAACCACATGGGAGTCCAGAGCCTTCATCACTACGCCACCTGCTGGTCCCAGCAGACATGCCCTTCAACAGCAAGGATAACGGAGTGGCAGGACTGTTGATGTCATAAGGAAACTCAAACCAGACCAGCGATTTCAGAGCAGCACTCACCCAGATGCTTGGCTGGAAATGCACACTCACACTCCACAGCAGTAGGAGACGGACGGTGAGGCCTGCTACTGCCAGGACTAGAGCCTGACCTAGTGCCGGAACCAGTGCCTGAACCACTACCTGACCTAGAGCCAGACCTAGTGCCAGAACTAGTGCCTGACCTACTGCTGGAACTAGTGTCTGACCTAGTACCTGACCTAGTGCCTGACCTAGTGCCGGAACTAATGTCTGACCTAGTACCTGAACTAGTGCCTGAACCAGTACCTGACCTAGTGCCTGACCTAGTGCCTCAACTAGTGCCTGAACCACTCCCTGACCTAGTATCTGAACTAGTGCCTGAACCTAACGCTAACATTATCCCTTAATCATAACCCTAACCGTAACCCTAGCACTATCCTTAAAGTCTAACAATAACCCTAACACTATCCCTAAACTCAAACCCTAATACTAGCCCTAACACTAAACTTAAACTCTAACCCTAAGCCTAACAC